CGCCCCGCTGACTGACCCCCCAAAAACGGCTGGTCGCCTTCTCTCCATGCGAATCTCTAGTTACTCTCACTCCCTGTCTCTCTCTCTCTCTCTCTCTCTCTCTCTCTCTCTCTCTCTCTCTTCCTCTCTCTCCCCTCCCCTCCACATTCGAACACACCCTCCAATTCCGGGACTGGAGTGTCGTGTTTTTGGCGCCGGGCCGATTGATAAGGGCTTTTGTTCACTTTTCGATTGTTGCCAGATTGTTTGGTGTAGGTGCACTGGTTTTTCGCGAGGTTCCAATGGATTCAATAACTAGATCTGCCTGCCCTTTCCCAAAGAATCTCTGCTAGCCTGCCCCTTTCCCAAAGAATCCCTGCTTGTCTGCCCTTTCCTAAAGAATCTCTGCTAGACTGCCCTTTCCTAAAGAATCTCTGCTAGCCTGCCCTTTCCTAAAGAATCTCTGCTAGCCTGCCCTTTCCTAAAGAATCTCTGCTCGCCGGCCCTTTCCTAAAGAATATCTGCTAGCCTGCCCTTTCCTAAAGAATCTCTGCTAGCCTGCCTTTTCCTAAAGAATCTCTGCAGTAACAAACAAATGCGAATAGAACGTAGGCACCAGGGGCACCGATTACGCAATGCAATCTATTAGGTTTGCCGGCTGGCGTTCCGGATGTGGAAATCTTCTCCTTCTTTCTACTTTCTCCCAATTGTCGTAAGCCCAGATCAAAAAAATAAAAATTCTATTTGGATTTCCCAACCCTCCTTCGACAAAAAAATAAAATCCATAAAAATTCTCGTTTATCGGCACCTACTGCGAGATTTTTGGGGGTCCCATTTTTAATCCCCGGCCTCGTCAATGCCACCGCTGCCCTTTTCTGGCCATTTTTCGTATTCAGCGGGCCATCGGGGGGGGGGGATGGCCATTCGTCGGCCATATTTTGGAATAATCATCCTTTGTTTTGGCCCGATCTCCACCCCCCAGCACTGCGGAATTGAGAAATGCTCCACCCCCACCAGCGCTTGGAATATCGATTCGGTTAAAATGTTGGAAACAGATCGGCAGTTTCTCGCTCTCTCTCACACTCTCTCTCTCTCTCTCTCGCTCTCTTTCTCACTGGTCAGACTAGCAGGGATCCTTTAGGAAATTGAGAGTTTGCAGAGCGTTTTAGGTGACAGCATGCTGGCAGTGATTTTTTAGAAAAGGGCAGGCTTGCAGAGATTCTTTAGGAGGGGCAGGCTAGCAGAGGTTCTTTAGGAAAAGGCAGCTAGCAGAGATTCTTTAGGAAAGGGCAGGCTAGCAGAGATCCTTCAGGAAAGGGCAGGCTGGCAGGGATTTTTTAGGAAGTCTCCACCAGCGATTCCACCCCCATCCAATCAACACCTATAAAAAGACAGGCAACCCCGGCTCGTTAGGGGAGCAATCAGCCGTTGTGTGACAGGGTGTGTGTATGTGATAGAAAAAGCCTCGATAATTCCCCCCATCATCAAGGTCATCCACTTCCCCCCTCCAGCACACGGACGCTCACATTTCCAGTGCCAATTAGATACATTACAGCTGGCTTTTAAAGATTATAACAATCAGTAAAAAAAGGTTCTTTTGCGTTATCAGGGGGACCAACTTTTTTCCGGGCCTAATTTTTTAAAAATCAATAGCGGAAGTATTTCTAAATAATTTTTTACGCTACCTAAACATGAAAACTAAACAAAACTTCCTTAAGAAATGCCAAAAAATATCGATTTTACGACCACAAATGTGACTTAAAAATTTTTAGACCAAACGTGGCTTATTTTTGACCGAAATGTCGACTTTTACAAAGCGTTTTAGATAGTTTTTCTGGTTTAAATCTAGTTATTTTTTACTAAAAACACAACACACCCCCCCCCGATAATGCGAAAGAACCAGCTACTGTATTTAAACTTTTAAAAGTCTTAAAATCTTTAAAGGCTATTTTTAGAGACTGAAACGTATCAAAGATCATTTTCTCTCACTTTCTATAGCGTGGGTATCTTAAAAATATTAAAAATACGCCGATTTTGCTTTGCAGATGTTCTAATGGCCAACCGACTGTCCTTAGCCGAGCGGTTGGGCAAGCTGACGGATAGTCAGGACAAGTAGGTTTTAAAAGGGACAAAAAAATTAACGGGGGGAGGGAGCAATTTTTCCCTATTTAGCTATAAAGAGCTTATAAAAAATCATACAAATTCTCGAAAATTTTTGACTTTTTGGTTAAAACTTTATGAAACTGACCAAAAAACGTCAAAATTTTGAATTTTCAAAATTTTAAAAGAAGTTTTTAGCATTTTCTAGCCGTCAAAAACTATGAAAAACGCGCTAAAAATACATTATATATTATCAGTAGGCTTCAAGCAAAAAGTGGCTTCCCCTGTTAAAAATCACCCCCCCGCTAACAGTCCAGAACCAAAATGATCAACCGCGCCTTGCCAGTCCCTTTAAGATTTTAAGAGACAAGTCGTGTTTAGATGGCGCTCCCGTAACGAGAACCAGACGCCGGAGCCCAAGCCCAAAACCGACATCAAGAACCTGATGGCCAAGCTGGGCAATGTGGGTCTAGCTAGCAAGCATTGAGCACGAGCTCATAATTAGGCCCGAAAACTTGACGAATAGGTCCATTTTAGTCACAAGAAGACTGGCGTCACCGTGTGCGGAAGGACGATCCGCCCTCCAAGTCTAGCCCCCGGAAATCGGCGAAATTGGATCTTTTCCAAAATATTCATCCCCAGGCGGTAAGACCTGAAATTTGGGAAAGAATAGCAAAGACCATTTGAGAAACTGACAAGAGCACAAGGTAGGCTAGCAGAGGCTATTTGAGATACTGACTAAAAGAGGAAGGCTAGCCGAGACCATTTGAGAAAGTTACAAAAAAAGGTAGGCTAGCAAAGACCATTTGAGAAACTGACTAAACAGGCAAGCTAGCAAAGACCATTTGAGAAACTGACAAGAGCACAAGGTAGACTAGCAACGATCCTCTAGGAGACCGACAAAAGCACAGGGCAGGCTAGCAAAGACCATTTGAGAAAGTGACTAAAAAGGAAGGCTAGCAACACCTATTTGAGAAACTGACTAAAAAAGGAAGGCTAGCCGAGACCATTTGAGAAACTGACCAAAAAGGTAGGCTAGTATGGACCATTTGAGAAACTGGCAAAAGCGCATGGTAGGCTAGCAAAGCCAGTTTGAGAGACTGGCTAAAAATGTAGTCTAGCAAAGACCCCTTGAGAAAGTGACTAAAAAGGCAGGCTAGCAGAGAGCATTTCGGAAACTGCCAAAACACAAGGTAGGCTAGCAAAGGCCATTTGAAAAACTGACTATCGCAGAAGGCAGACTAGCACAGACAATCTGGGAAACTGACAAACGCACACGGTAGGCTAGCAGAGACCATTTGAGAAAGTGACAACGGCCTTTTGAGAAGGAAAGACCTCATAAAAGCTCAAGGCAAGCTAGCAGAGACACCCTCAGCAAATTCCCACAAACTATGGACATGCTAGCAGAGAGAATTTGCAAAAAATCGTCCAAACCCGATTGCAGACCGCCGCCCCATCCAAGGCGAACACCATCTACAACCTCGATTCGGGGCTGGGCAACTTTTTCGCGGCGACCGCTACGGTAGGAGTGGAGATGTCAGATCCGTAAACAACGACATTTAGCCTGTTACAACCACCGAATCTGCTCATCAAGATGTTGCCGATGTGGATTTGGATAGCATCAAAGCTTCACAAAAGTATATCTATCGGAAAAAAACAACAATAAGTAAAAATTTTAGATTAACCACCCCGCGCCGACCTGTCTCTAGGCCCGGACGACCTGGTGCTCGAAAGGTTTGTCTTCCTGGCCCCTAGAAAACCCAAGTTTAGGCCCTAGTGGCGGCCGCCGAACGGCTTCAAGCCATCGAAGCCGAACCAGTGTTTTGCGAAGAGGACGCGAGAGATCACCTCATTATCGAGAAGATTCTCGACGACGATAGGGATCAGCCGATCGCAACGAGTGCCAGGCGGGGGCTGCAGGTAAGCAAAAGGTTTGGTGTTTCCAATATTCTTTTAATTAGTCCATCGAAAACTTCGACCTCGCCAAGTCGGCGCTGAAACAGGCCGACCCGACGTCACCGTTTCCGGATCTGATGCTCATTCGGATTATGGGTTAGTCAATCGGTACCTATCTCTTTTGGTATGCCCTACCCTTAAGAATCTCCGCTAGCCTGCCCTTTCCTAAAGAATCTCTGCTTGGCTGCCCTTTCATAAAGAATCTCTGCTAGCCTGCCTTTTCCTAAAGAATCTCTGCTACCCTAACCCTTCCTAAAAATCTCCACTTACGTTAAGCCTTCTTTTGTAGGCGAAAAGCTGATGGACGTGCGACTTGTCTGTCCAAAGGCCTCCTCCGTACACCAACATGCTGCCTTTCTGGTGGTCAGCCCCAATCGGTTGCTCGCCTACAACGGCGCCTACAGTAATATCATCGAAAAGAACAAGGTATGTGCCAGGTTAAAGGCAGGTCTGACCTTGCAGGCCGTCCAAATATCGAAGGAGATCCTGCAGAAGAAAGACCTTTTCTGCGCGGCCAAGTCGGCAGAAACGTACGAGGGCGATGCGCCGGCTTTTTTCAAAGTGCTTGGAGGTAAGTTTGCGGATTTTTTAAAGGAGCTAGAACAGCTTGATGCCATGCCCATTTTGAAGAATCTCTGCTAGCCTGCCCTTTCCTAAAGAATCTCTGCTAGCCTGCCCTTTCCTAAAGAATCTCTGCTAGCCAGCCCTTTCCTAAAGAATCTCTGCTAGCCTGCCCTTTACTAAAGAATCTCTGCTAGCCTGCCTTTTCCTAAAGAATCCCTCCCGCTGCGCGGCTCACAACCATGCAAAAAGATCCACAAAATTCAGGCGGATCCCCAAATGAAGCGTACCTCCGCCCCGCGGAAGCATTCGAGAAGCTCTCCTCCGAGGTGAACCTCGTACTCCGCGTAACGGATGACTATCGTGTTACTACGGTAGCCAAGGGCGAGCGGCCAAGATTCCGGATGTTACAACCAAAAGAGGTCAGAAAATCGGGCTATCTTAAAAAAATCAATTTTAGACCCTAATCTTCGACTTTGGGTCCGAGATTTACGTGTGGAGTGGAAGGGACGCGAGGAAGACGAATGGAAACTACGCCAAGGAGTATGCGAAGAAATTGGTGAGTCGAAGAAAAATAGAACCATCCTTTCCTCAACCATTTTCAGGCCAAAAACGGGTTCAGCTGCCAGGAGGCGATGTTTGGGTGTGAGATGCGAGTGGAGCGACCGAATTGGACGATTCTACGACACCTTCATCAGGTTATTTTTGGAGCGAATTTAGGCCAAAATCCCGACAGGCGAAAATCTGGTTCTTTATGAAAATCTCCAAAATCTGATTCAATTGTTCTTTTATCGCGGGGGAGGCAACCGATTTTTTTGTTGAAGATCTGATTTTTCAAATATAAATCGTGAAGATGGTTCGCAACGGTTTTATACTGTTCCTAAAAGTGGAAACATTATAAATTGTAGATTAAAAACTAGTAAAAATCGCGATTTTTTGACTAAAAATGGGTAATGGCTGACCGAGGTTTCGCCTTTCAAAATTTTTGGCAAGTTTTTAGATAGTTTTTCTAGTAGAAATATATTTATTTTATCTATTAAACACTTCCGATTAAAATACTAGACATTTTTAGACGGATACGAAAAATTTCGCCTCCACCCCCGATAAACCCCCCGATAATGCGAAAGAATCGGATTCTCATTCCCAGGGCATCCAAGACATCCTCTTCTCGTCGAAATTCTGGGACTGGCAGTCCAGCGAGCTGAAGCACATGATGCGAACACCGGTGGTGGTCGATAAATATGCTTGCTTGGTGAGTCTTAAGAAATTTTTGACTTTACCAGTCCTTTAAAGACGCTCGTAAGTAAAAATTGCCGTGTTGGTGGACCGAAAGGGGTACAGTCACTACCCCGAAAAGTCACTACCCCGAAATAATTTGCATGATTTTCATAGGAAAACCGCATGAAAACTGGATTTTTCCGGGAAAAACAATGCTATCATTTTTCGGGGTAAACGATTTCGGGGTAGTGACTTTTCGGGGTAGTGACCGGACGCCGGACCGAAAATATGGATTACAAGTCAACGAACAAGGCTAAAATTCTAAAAGCCCTTCAATAAAGTTCGTTGCCAAGAAAACTAGACATTTTCGGGCAGAATCGACTTCGCGCACAAGGGGATTACATGTCGTAATGCCCGCCAGGGCGCATTTCTCGAAACCGCCGATTCCCAGGCCAATTTCGTTACTCAACGCAGCTAGAGTGTGTAAAATCACGTGCAAATTCACGCATTTTACCCCCAAATGGCGGGGGTTAGCAGACGGCGAACGTTTTTTGCCAAGAATCAAGAGGCTAAGGGGTGGACGAGACCCCTACTTTAAACCTCGTTCCCTAAACGTAGCCGCTAGGCAAGTTTTGTCAGCTCCTGACAAAAAAACCTGCTTTAGACACCCCAACGGCGTGATCCCGAAGACCAAGCGGGAGCTCTGGCTTCACGGCTACGCGCCTCCGAGCACCCAGCACCAAGTCTCAACCTTGAAAACTTCGATTTTGAGCGCGAAACAAAGGTTTGCCGCTCACTCACACTTCTCGGCAACCAAGAATTTCAGGACGTCATCACCGAAGACATCCGGTTTTGGAGGTTAAAAGATGAGGAGCTAGAGGAAATCGGTAAGTCCAAGCCGTCTCGGGTGAGCTTAAATTTTAGAAAAACGAATGTCCTGTGGAGTGACCAGTGCTATGTAGTTAGATGGCAGTACCGGATTCAGCTGTCAGGTGAGTATAGAAATGTCATGAAGAGGTTAAAACTGCTCTGATTATACCGCACGATAAAATTAAACAGCTACGAAAATCGTGGAATGACGGTACGGTCCTTTGGCGTTAACGGGGGGGGGGGACCAAATTTTCCCCGTAATTGCTTAACCACAAAATATAAACCATTTTCATAGGATTCTACAGTTTTTGGAGATAAAACGCTCATAAAAATTTGAAACTTTTTGGTCAAAAATGTCTAAAAATGACCAAAAAAACGTTCAATATTTTGAATTTTCAAAACTCAAAATGTTTTTTCTTAGCTTTCCAGCAATCAAAAACTACTCAAACGCTATAAAAATACATTATGTATTATCAAAAGGAGGAAATAAATAGTGCTTTCCCCTGTTACCACCCCCGCCCCGCTAACAGCTGGTAACAGCATTACCAGACGAAACGCGCGACAAATTCTATAGTCCTTCTGTTCTGCCGTTTAACGTCACTACAATTCCTAAAAAATTTAAATAAATTAAATTCCTGTCTAATCCCAATGTCAGGAATTCGCCGGCTCAACAACGGCGAGGAGGTCGAGAGGGAGACGGGCAGGGAGCGACTGGCCTATTTCTATTGGCTCGGCCGCGAGACGACACCAAAACAGCAGGGTTGGTCCTGGTTTTCGAGATGGCTAGCAGAGATCCTTGCGGAAATCCCGGATCCACCAACGGATTCCTTCAGGTCTGTGCGCCCTGAAGCTGTCCTACATGGCGCACAACATGCCGCATGTTCGGCAGGAACAAGGGGCCGAGCTGCCCGTTTTTCTCGAGCTGTTTTCCGGAAATCTTGTGATACGACAACCTGAACAGGTGAGCGAGTCAAAGAAGAGCGCGTCTTACTAGGGCTGGGAAGTCAAAATTGTGTCGAAATTGCAAATTGGCGCTTTTTGAATCTTGGAAAAACACCTTGAAATTGCAAAAAACCCCCAAATTTGAGAGAGCGTGAATTACATGTCGTAATGTCCGCTACATCACTCAATTCATCCATCGCGCCGATTTTGATAATTAAAACAGCTAGATCGGCAAAAACCTCGAAAAACACAAAAATCACGGTCAGCATTTGCAAATTCACGCGTCTATCCAGCTCCCACAAAGCTACGTTCTTTCAGAAAGAGCTTTTCTTCGTGGTTCGCGGCAGCGCGAAGCCGGAGTGTTCGCTCGAGCAGCTGGCGCAGATTTGGCCGCTGAGGAGTCACGCAGTGTATTTGGAAGCCAAGGGTTTGTACTGGTTATAACAAGCGAAAAGTTACAAAAAAAGGCCGCACGTACAACAACTTACAAAACGCGCATCATGAGTACAAAATTATCGATCCGTTTCAGAAGGCCAACCCGCCCTTCTGCACGTCGGCGCGCATTGTCAAGAGGTTCACGTCGCAAACGGGCTGAGAATGGCCGAACTGTTGTCGATGGATGGGTTGTGCACAGAGGGCAAGGTATAGAAAATACTCTTCTGCTTCTTAAAAAATTCGGCGCTATTGCGGTTTGCTGGCCCCACTTATATCGGGCCAAAACTGATTGTTTCCGGGCTAGTTTTTTGCGCTGATTACGAAAAACCACATCCCGAATCGCGAAAGTTCTGTTTTCCAGGGAAAAAACTACATTTTTTTTATTTTAGGTTTGGGTTTGCACGGGGTAACTAGATTTGAATTGAGAGGCCTGTACCCTAGTGGAAAAACTTTTCCAAAAAGATTAGTTCATTGCAACCGTTTTTACCTAAAAACCCTTTCTGGTAATTATTTACCGACTTTATCACACAAACTGCCTTTTGGGCGAGTACCGTGAACCGGTATAAATTGGTATAAAAACGTATATATGTATCTATAATTTTTACTAACGCAATTTTTACGAACTGCGGTAGTGTTTTTCGTAATCAGCGCAAAAACTAGCCCGGAAACAATCAGTTTTGGCCCGATATAAGTGGGGCCAACAAACCGCAATAGCGCCAAAAATTCAACAAGCGCATCTCCTTGATCAAATTCCTCGTTTACAGCCCGCCTCACTCCTACAGGGAGACGATCCGAGGTACGAATGGGTGATCGCGAAGGGCAGGACACGGGCACCAAGGCTGTTTAGGTAAGAAAACACGATTTTCCAGCCCGATGTTTATTTAGACTGTACGATGTTGATGGCCATGAAGTTACGTCAAATCAGTATCACCCCTCGGCAGTTGCCGCCTTCCCACATGCACAGGTGCGTTCTACAGTTGTCGTCAAAGGGGGGATAAAACGGCACAAGTCAACCGTCGAGTTCTTTCGCATTATCGGGGGGATTTTTTGCATCGGTCTAGACATGCCTGGAAACGTAACAGGAAGTATTTTTATAGTGCTTTTAGGAAAATAAAACTATATCTCAAAATGAACAACCATCTACAAACTTTAAAAAACTTTTGAAAACACCGATGTTTGAAAACGAAAATCGAGTTCTTTGCTATTTTTTTCAAAAAACTTGCCAAAATTTTTGAATCATGTTTTTAGTAAAATAAAAAGATATTTCAACTAGCAAAATATCTACAAACTTTACAAAGGTTTGAAAAAGTCAAAACTTTGGTGAAAACGGCTGTTTTTGGTCTAAAAATCGATATTTTTGTCTTTTTCCATAAAAATTTGTCACGTTTTATGTTTAGAACTAGTAAAAAATAGTTAGAAACGCTTCCGCTATTTATAATTTAAAAATGGGATCCTTAGAAAAACGTGTTCCCACCCCCGATAACACGATAGAACCATCAAAACCATCAATAAAATCCAAAATCCAGACCCAACTCCGCGACACAATCTTGGTGGACGCCGGCGGAGCACTGTGGGTTTGGTCCGATGGCACACCATCGACCCATTGTCTCGACACGGCAACCAGGTAAAAAGCCAAGATCCCTAAACTCGTCTGACTCGATTCTCTAGGTACTGGCACGGTCGCGAGGGGCGATGCACGGTGGTGGAGAAGAACAACGAGCCGGCCGAGTTCAAGGCCCTCTTCCAGGAGTGGAATAATTGGCCGGAAGACGCGGAAAACACTACTCCAGGTTCGTCAAACTATACGAACTACACGACGCTTTTTAGAGGCAAGCCCACCCCGCCCATTGGCCGATTGTTTATCGGAACGTCGGCGAACTTTTACGCCGGCCCAGCTTCGACAACGCGAATCCCTGCCGGCCGGTCTTGATCTCAGCCGACTGCATAAATATTTGAACGACGAGGACTTTGGGAAGGTCAGTTGACAAAACCGGTATAACCAAGTCGGTTCTGGACTGTTAGCGGGGGGGGGGCAATTTTTAACCCCGGGGAAACCACTTTCTGCTTTTCCACCTGTATCTATATTTTGACGGTATATAATGTATTTTCATCAGGTTTTTATTAGTTTTTGAGTGCCATGAAGTCATAAAAAATTTAGTCGATCTGAAAATTCGAAAATTTTGTCCTTTTTGGTCATTTTTCATCTATTTTTGACAAAAAGTTTGTTTTTATATCTAAAAACTATGTAAAATTATATCAAATTGTTATAGGGCGGTAGAGAATACCAGGGAAAAAATTTGGTTCCCCCGCTAACAGTCCAGAACCGACAAGTATCCTAAATAATAAAGATGCTTAAAAAAGTATCCTAATCCACGTGTTTTACTAGAAAAACAAACAAAAAAATGTTTAGGAATTCGGCATGTCTCCCAAAGACTTTGACGCGCTGCCAGCCTGGAAACAGAACCGGATGCGGCAAGAAGCAAAGTTATTCTAGAAGAATCCTAGAATTCAAGAGTTCGATTCAAAAATCCCCTTTTCGATTTGTACAGAACCCGCCGATTATTTCTTGCGCTTTATGCCTTCTATGCTTCGTTGGTGCTTTATGTTGCCATTTTTATGATAAAGCCTCAAATACCCCGGAGTTTCTACGCGGGCATTAAAAAACTTATATATAAGTGTAAGCGCCTCAAATAACGCGCAAAACGAGCACCCATTTTTAAACTCTGATTTTTAAGTTTTAAAGTTTTTTAAGGAGGTTCAGGTCCAGTTTCAGCTAGTTTTTTAACAACGCTAAACTACCCAAAAGTTAATAACAAACTATTAACTCAAAAAACCCCAACAAACTTTTGCCCCATAGAAAACTTGCAGATTCGCTTCAAGCCCATCAATATCGTCTTGTTCCGCCACGCTGACGGGCAGGCTAGCAGGGACCATTTGAAGGCGCTCATCGGTCGCTGTCTTCATTTTGCCGCCGCTTAACCGATACCTGATGGAATTAATGAGAGCATAATCGAATTCCTTACCTTATTGTCATGCAAAGGCTTGATGCCCATCAAATTTGGCAGGCTAGCAGAGATTCTTGAGGAAGCAATGTGCGGAGGGAGCCTGAAATCAATCAAATTTAAAAATAAACAACGTTATACTCAAAACCGCCTAGAAAAAGCAGGAAAAACCAGAGATAATTATCATTTTCAAGAAAAAAAAGAAAAAGAGCGGGGACGATTATAAATTTTTATTAAAAACATGCAAAAAATTGATTTTCGATTAAAAATCGCCCTTTTTGAATAGGATTTAGATTTTTCAAAACTTTTTAAAAGTTAATAGTTTTTAGATAGTTCTTCTAGTGGAAATACAGTTATATTTTACTAAAAATACTATTAAGACGCTTCTTATTCAGTTTATTAAGTTACTAGGCATTCCTAAGTCAATACAAAAAGGTTACGGTAACAAAATTATGATTTTTACATCCGCCGTTCCTTCCCCCGAAATCCAGACCATTTTTTGGGTCAATTAACCACCCCGCCCAAGCCTTTTTTCCGTTTACGACCCGACAATAATTATTCTAACAGATTCCTCGACTCACCCGCTTATCGCATGCCTGAATTTACGGGCTTTTCGCGATAAAAACACCGCATTTGCCCCGTTTTCGTTTTCACGCGGGGCAACGAAACTCGCATCGGCCGCTTTCAAGGCAATTTATGACCCTATTGGAGTATTTGAAAGTGGGTTTTCGGCAATTCCACCTTGAGCTTGATCGACAGAGCGGTAATGAACTTTGCAGTCTATCATGAGCGGCCTATTCAATCGACTTACATCGAAAAGCAAGGGTGAGCCGGTCCAGCCGGTGCGCGAGATCACCCGAAACCGCCCCGGGTCGGGACACAGCAATGTTTCTCAAGACGGACCCCAGGCGCCAGTCGGTCAGTCATTCGTTTTCGCAGAAATTAAACTTATAACGTTGTAGAAGCCCAAGCACTCTACAATTCGCCGGGCCCGCACCCCAAATATAAGTATCTGCAGTTCCGCCGAGGAGAACGCCTGAAGATTCTCAGAGAAGCGTACGTTTTCAGTAATTTGACGCTTCGTTCTTTCGCATTGGGCATTTTGTTGTATGAGTCTACAAATCTCTACTAACATAATCTGAAACTTAACCTAACAACCATCTAAACACTTTCAAAATATAGAAATTTCGGCCAAAAACGGTCAATTTGGTCGAAAAACCGATATTTTTGCATTTTTAATAACCGTTTGTAAAGTTTTCGTTTTTGGAATAGTAAAACACAGTTTAGAAGTTGTGTACAGTTGTTTTCGCCCGAGCAACCCCCCCCCCCCGATAATGTGAAAGAACCTGAAGCTTTTTGCGATCGCGGCTCTGCCCTCATTTCGGGCGTGGACTCCGATAACCGGCAACTAAGATGCATGCGAATTTGCCCGGATGCACACCCAAATTGATAAGATTTTATCGCTGGGCACTGAAGCTGGCTTGGCCAAGACTTGGCGAGGCGGTCGTGTCACAATTTCAGATTGAAAAACCAAGGAAATTAATAAAGGGCGTGCCAAAAAAAGAGGCTCCTAGCGGTCCGCAGTCCGACTTTACGATTTAGGTATCTATCGAAGGATCTTGTCGAGCTGAGGTCGAACTTTTGAATAATAAGGAGACATGTTTTCGCCGCGCTTCGAAATGCCCCAATTTTTTTTACAATAGCTTAGATTTTTGCGGCAAAAATCGCATTTGGTTGCTTTTCCTAAGCAAAGTGTTTTATAAAAAAACTCCATTTTTCAAATTTTTGCACTTTTCACGGCGGCCCGAAAACAGCTTTTTGAAAAAGATTTCATAAAATTCATAAAAAGATGATAAAATCGGCTAAAGAGTTGGAAATTTCGAAAATCGGAAACAACCTGAGCTCGTTCAGCACGGGGTCTTTTCGCGCGCATGGGGGTGGGGAGGGGCGTGGCCTAGTGGTCTAAGGCGCCGGTCCAAGGGACAGGTGGGGGGTGCTGGTTCGATCCCTCCCGGGGAAAGAAACATGATCCCGTTTTGCTTTTTTCACGAAAAGGTGCGGAAGAGCATCAACATCCTTGATATACACACCCCAGTAACGAGAACTGCCGAATTTACCCAAGTTGATGCTACACATTGAAATCGAGGGATTATGGCTACTTCTGGCTCGTTTAACTTATTTTTTTACCAGGAATTGCCTGAAGCTGTCTAGGTTTGCCCCTGAAAATAATTGCCAGCAAATTGGGGTGTTGTACCGGTTGATTCCGGAAGGTCTGGAAAATCAAGCCTTCGGCTCTTCGGCGTTTTGACATCCAGCACCTTGTAAGTAGCAAATTTGTCATTGACCATCATCCGTCAGCCAAACTAAACCAAAAAAGCGGAAATACTAAGTCTAAATTCTAAGAAAAACGCTTCGCACAATTTCCAGATTTTCAGTCCTGGGTCCATTTAAACGGCTTTCAAGTCAATGTTGTGCCTCGCGATCGTCCTTATTTTGCTACCAAAATGTAGCTGGGATCCTTCTCTATCGATAGTGAGGTGGAGAATTGATCAAAGTTTCTAGAAAAAAAGTTATAAGCCTTAGAAGTAGTAAAATTTGGCAACTTTTCGGGCCCCTCTCTGGGGTTAATATGGGGTTCTGTGCGCGCAGCCGATCCACCTGTCGCTTGGACTGCTACGTTATCCCGTGCGCGCCTCGCCATAGAAAAAAACCCCCGTGTCAGAGCAGTCGATAGATACCTGAATCGTAAAAATCGAACATGACTCTGGACCGCCAGAGCGCGGGCGCTTTTTTGGGACACCCTGTAGCGTTTGCTTTTTAGAAATGACAATTGGTGGCAGGCCGAGCATCCGCGCACTAAGGAGAGGGGCTACGTGCCCACCCAATATATCGCGCTGATGTGGCCGATTCGGAATGAGCCGTGGTTTTACTGGGATTGGGATCGGGACAAGTCGCAGAACCATCTGGTAGGGAGCGTGTGGATAGCTATAGCAAAAGCTACCTTATTGTTAGCTTGGCGATCACCGACTTCCGCCCGGTACATTTGTGGTTCGACCGAGCTCTTCGGCTGGATTCGCTTTGGACGTAAAGTAGGTGTTATTATTATAATTTTATCAACAACGATCGAACCAGCCTAATTATCGGAGCTTTCAGGTTTGGCCCACGCGTTTTCAAGCCGTTTCGCATCGACCAGGACCAAGACAACCATTATTACTACATCGAAGAAGAGTTCAAGTTCCGTTCTATCCAGCAGTTGGTCCAGCATTATCAGACGAGTGCGTTTCTACGCTTTTTGAGCGTCAACCCGATGCTTCAAGGTAAATCTCCCCTACTGAAGATCCGCCTTGGCAAATGGCCTGTCGAAGCGCGGGCGGCCGCACCGCCCTCGTAAGTTTGATATTCGGTAACCTGTTCGGTTTCAGGCGAGACGAATGGGAGATCGACTCGCGCGAGCTAGTGATTGGCGTCCTTATTGGCCAAGGAAATTTTGGCCTGGTATGCGCCATTTTGTCTTTGAAAGGGACTCCGAACTGCAAAACCAAAGCCCTTTAGGGAGGGCTCTTTGATTTCTGGCAAATTGCCACCTGGCATTTTTGATTTTTGCGCGAAATTTTTCGCCCGATGTCGTTGTGCAAGGAGCTTTAGGCCCCTTTAAAGGGGCCCGGAAATGCCAAACTTTGATTTACGGCCCCGGTGCCCTGTACGTCGAAGCCCTTTGTACGCTCAGGGATGCGGGAAGCTCGCAAGTTTGAAATGGCCTTCTGTCACCTTCAAAACACGTTCTCGGCTGTTTTTGGACCAAAGTTGTTGATTAAAAGACCAAAGCTATTCAAAATTGAGTAAGGATCTCAGAAATGAGCTCAGAATCTGCGAATTATAGTGTTTTCACAAAGAAACCGGACAACAACAGTTTCGCGCAAAAATCGAAAGAGTGAGCGCTCTCGTCCCGCAGCGCCCGCTGGCAATTTTCCAGAAATCAAAGATGCTGTTTGGCAGTTCGGTGCCCCTTTAACAACCACGTCCTCAGGTGAAACGGGCGATGTGGCATCGATTGCCTGTGGCTGTCAAGACCCTCCTCAATAGCCCAAATCGTGATGGCGAAAAGGACTTTAAAGAGTGAGTTACCGGGCCGATCAGTTTCACGTTTTCCAGTGAAGCCCAGCAGCTGAAAGAGCTCGATCACCCACATATCGTCCAGTTATACGGGGTACGTATCTTCAGCGTTTTTTCCTGTCAACTTCCTAGGTAATTACGGTGAAACAGCCATACATGCTGGTAACCGAATACATGTCTGACGGATCGCTGCTGCGTTACATGCGAAAAAAGGGATCACCCGTAGACCACGCACAAGCCATTGACATCTTGATCCAGGTAGTATCGAATCGAAGAGAGCTTTTACAAGAGTCCGATCCAGATTGCGGCCGGGATGGAATATCTAGCAGGAAAGGGGAAAATCCATCGCGATCTGGCGGCACGTAACGTACTCATCGACTTGAGCGCGCGCAAAATCGTCGCTAAGGTAATGCCTGGTAAATTGTCGGAAAATACCGCTTTTCCAGGTGAGCGACTTTGGGCTGACGCGCAACATGCCCGATGATCACTACTACACGTCTCACGGCAATTTTCCGGTCTGCTGGAGCCCGCCAGAGGTATGGATTATGCATAAATCATATTCATCAAAACCCATCGACCCCAAGTCTGCTCATCTAGGCACTGGAAACGTACAGCTTCACGGAACGTTCGGATTGTTGGTCGTATGCTGTGGTGATGTTTGAGCTATACACGAGCGGCGAAGCACCTTATGCCAGAGAGATCGAGCAGGGTGCGTTGAATAAGTGCTCGCTGGACAAATATGCAATTCTAAATCCCGATAGCCATTATTTTCAGCGTCTAAGCGCCCAGACTACTTGCTGAAGTGGTTAGAGCAAGGGAACCGTCTGCGGCAGCCGGCACGATGTCCGGATGCAGTTTTTTCGAAGGTTGGTCGTTTATTTCTTCACGTCTCTTCACCGTGCACTGTTTATCGGTTATCAACCCAACTGTTGTTCCAGATAAGCAATCCCTGCTTCGCCAGGGCCTGGCGTGAACGTCCAAGTTTCACCGAGATCCTCGCCATTCTCAAGGTACAAAATTTATAGCGAAACCACCGATTGGTAATTTCAGGCGCTGAAGCCCGATGAAATCGAACCACCGCCACGTACAGAACACAGAAACGGCCAGCCAACGCCGAAGCGATGATTGACACCTGCGAGACTCGGCCTTGCTTCGCACAAATCCGCATATGTTGATCGGGTTTTGTCAATAAACCAAAAAGGAACGGGATCAGCTACCACACAATTGACTGCTGTAAATCGGCCTAGGGAGCGCTAGGGAGGCAGTCGCCAAATTTTTTTTGGACGTGCCCCCCCCAAATCGGGGGTTCGCTACGGCCCTGTATACAGTAAATTTGATTTCCCGGTGCTTTCCTATTGACGATGGTGGTGGGAGAGCGAATTTTTTCATAAAATTTCGGAAATGCTCAGTAACTTTGTAGTAAGTATTTCAATAGTGTCTGTGGTAAAGTTCACTTTATTTGAAGTGGCGAAAACTTAGAGAAGCAATTTTTGACACTTGAAACCCCCCCCAAACAATGATCTTTGGGGGCCGTCTGGTCAGTTCTCGCGACTTGGGCAATCTAGCGGCGATGCTTGGGTCCTGGGAAGAGATACCAGCTGTTCTATTTGACATCTGCCGAGGAGATGATGTGCCCTTGGGTGATATTTCGATAATTTCCCCGCTGCCCCTCCTCGACCCCATCGCACCAATCCATATCGATCCGCGCTATCATCAAATTATCGACGACGCCATTTCGGTCCAACCTTTTCCTCATCATCAAAATAGCTTAATTCAGCTTTCTTGTTTTTTTCTGCTGACCGTTTATGGGATCGTTTTTGTTGAGTGTATGTCCTTAACCCCGTGTCTGAAATCTTAGGTTGCTTCTTCGAACCTGTCCCGCGCGTTCCGAGAGCGTAGCTTAGGGCTTTTCGTAGGGCTATTTGGCATAAAGACCATTTGCCGATCCCTAGAACACAGAAAATAGTTTCGATTTGCAATAATTTTTTTGTTGCACAGAACCGTTATAAAATCATAAAAATGTTTCTTCTCCTCCTCTCTTTTCAATGTCGTTTTCAGAATTTCGATTAACAATGTCACGGAGGGTTCTCGTTCGTTAGCGGGGGGGGGCACAGTTTATCGGGGCAAACATTGTTTGTCAATGGCTTCCCTGATCTTAAATTACACGATGTTGAGCTGTTTATAAAACCTTTGGTCCATTTTTAGGTCCTATCGAATAGCGTTAACAGAATATCGAAAATCCCAAAAAGTAGCTTGCCGACCCCATTTTCAGGGTTGTTTTTGCTTTTGTTATAACTTTCTCAAATTATAGTGTTTTGATCTAGAATTAAAATTATCAGCATATTTTTTTGATGCGTTACCGGGTCACGAGGATGTAGTCCCAGAAAATAATTAAATATGGAAAAGTCTACGACATTAAACTTTCTCCCCAAAACTCCTTCCCCCGCGAATGAATCAGAACCGAAGCGGATTTTGGACGCTGGTGGTTATATATTTGGCGTCAGATGATGTGCGGGGAAAACGCGGTCTCGGTGGCGATGAACGTGTTTGACCGGTTACGGTACTGGAGCCGACGGAAACGGTGTTCTCGATTAGCGGTCAACGAACTGCCATGGCCCGCCATCTCGGCTATACTCGATCAGCTGACCATCCCACAACTCCGAACACTGCAGCGCGTCAACCGCAAATTCAGGTATAATCACATAGTTTAAGACAACGGCAGCGAAGAGTCTGTTTGTCCCGATAATCATAATGCCGTTAAAGCGCACGTTCAGGGAGGGGCCGTGTACTCGTCCCAACGTGTACACCCTATGG